AAATAAAAAATGTATCTGAACAAAAATAAAAAGCACGACAAAAAAGCATCTTATAAATGGACAGGAGACCCTTATAAGCGGACAACACAAATCGTTGATTGAAAGTAAAATAAAATAACTAAACCAAACTGTCGAAATCTGCATACATACATATGTATGTACATTAGGGTGGTCAAAATAAGTAAAGTCGATTTTAAAATATTTATTTATTTATTTATTTTGATGTATGGGAAAAAAAATTTCGTAAAAATGGTATAGAATTATTGAAAATCAATAGTTTTCGAGCGGAAAACTCTATTTCTTTTCAGAAGACTTCCAAAAATAATACCCAATTGTTTATTTAACCTATTTGACTTGTTTTTCAAAAATAAAATTGTCAAAGTTTACTTTCAGTTTTGTGGTTAAATTTTCTTTACACCTCCTATGCATAGACAAAACCTATGGAATCGTGAGTGTCCGATTATGGGAGGTTTCACTGTACCTCGAATATATTACTCCGCTTGAATAAGTTAAAAAATTAGAATTGCTAATAATGTGTATACCAAATAAATTCGAAATCATTGGCTTTTGATACTGTGTATCATTTCGTGCATAATTTACTGTAAATATATATATGTGCATTTGTGTGTATACAAATTTACTACGATGTGTAAATTTATGCACATGTGCTTGTACAAAAAAAGTTGTGGAAAATAATGCACAAGAGAACAATGCTATTTCGCATGCATAATAAGAACTTTATTTATTTCCATGTTGAAATTTTAAAGATGCTAGAAATTTGGAAACCCTTTAAAACATTTCACACCAAGTTCATTCGATTTTAGTTTTTTTTTTAATTATATATTTAGATTTTTCCTTTCACCTTTATATTTACTTTAAATTGCATGACTTTTTTTATTATACTTATTTAAATTTATTTCATATAATTTATCGTTAGCTAAAATATAATGTTTAATAAGAAACAGCACTTCGACAAAAATTCGCAACTTTATAACTTTGCTTTTTGCTAAATTTTCAGACTATGTTTGAAGGAACAAAAATGTGAGCTAGGGCCTTTCTTTATTAAGGAAAACAACAGCAACAATGCTCCACAAAATATTTTTTTTTTACGATTTATAATTTTTAAAACCCGCTCCTGTTTAAATAATAAATTATTATAAAAGAATACTACATATATATATGTATCTACAGATGTATCAGGAAGAAAAAAGGTCAAGTTTTTACACTAACGCATGAAAACATACACACACCCGAATTTGAAAAATGTGATTTTACTCTTATACAATAGATATTGCATATGACATATCCAAAGGTTTTTCTTATGGCAGCTACTTATGTATGTATATACATATATATGTACTATGTAATAAGAATAAAGTATGTGTTTATTCTAATTTACATTATACAACCACAAACACTGTGTGAAAATCATGCGTTTCGCCAAAAAATTTTTGAAAATATAGAGCTACTCGTACAGCCATAAGTAAATGCACATAACTGTCTTTACAACATAAAGCACTAGAAATTTTCGCTTTACCACTCTTTAACAAAAAAAAGTTATACAAATAACTACATTTATTTATACATATCCATACGTACATATGTATGTATGTATGTATTCATACATACATTGACAGACATGTACTTTAATAATTTATTGTTGGTTTGCAGTGTAAACTCACCACGTCTCTTTTTCTTATCCTTTCGCTTGCGCGGTTGCACGTCACCCGACATATTTCACCGCACCCTTTTCGAGACCCTTACCTGTTCTATCAATTCTTTCACTTTTCTTCTGCACTTTTACTTATTTTCATATATAAAACTATAAAAATAAGTTAATTTAGTTAGTTTTCTTATATTTTCTACTATATTTTAGCGCTTAACACTTGAATTGAAAATTTCGGTCGGACGTTCTAAAATAAAATATTAATAAATACTTTTAACGAACGAAACCGCCGCGTTTTCCACTCAACAACACAGCCCCAACACGGCTAGTTATCCACTGGACCGGTAATGCTCCCCATGCTATAGAAACAAATGCACGATCGTTATTGGGCACAGTGCGAGCACAACAATTTTGTTTAAAAATAAAATTCTCTCTATCTGCCAATTCGCCGCATCCGGCGCAACCGGCTGATTGGATTCTTGTTTTGGTATTCCGGTGTCATAATCAGCTGAGTTTGACCGTTTGGAACGTTGCCAGAGTGTAAAGTGAAGTTAATGAAAAGCAAAAAGGTGGTAGCATTGGGCGCAAAATTTTTTTTAAATTTTTTAGGCAAAGAATCGAAATCTATAGAATTCTCTCTTAAAACAGATTTCTTCGAGAAAAAGTTTTGGCCCCTATTGCGAGTGTCGACTGGCAGTAGAATAGAAATTTGTCGATCGAGTCGATCATCTTTTATTTTGCTATTGTGTAACTTGATCGATAAAAATTTGTACTATTGTGAATGGTTGCGGAATTGTAAACAGCTGTTTGTTTGTTTACATTTGTTTCTTTAATGTTTCATTTACATCATTTTTAAAATAATTGCTTTTATTATAAAATTTAAAAAATGGACACAGTTGAAATATGGTTTAGTGATGAGGAAGATGATGTGGAAGCTAATAGATTAGTAGAGTTGGCTAAAGCAAGGAGGGAATTGCGAGATTCGTCGGATCCCATGGAGTTGGAAGATGAAGTGTATATACATATGTGAATTTTATGAATAGAAGTTGCGTTCCCGATGCTTCAAGGATTTTAGGTTTTACAGGATTTGCAGGAAAAGCTGTTTTCCTCATTAATAAATTTTATGGAAGTTTAAGAAATACGTTACCGTTTAGTTATTTGTACAATGATGTTGAGTATTTGTCCAAACGCGTGACCCGCCTTTTAAAACTTTAACATACAAGTGTAGTGAAAGAATTAAACTTTAATTTAACATAAAGATTTCAAGTTTCCGAGCATTAGTTAATTAATAAATTATGCAGTTTTTTGTAAACTTTGATGTTGGTTCTGCGCAAAAACACTGTGGATGGCGTAGCCGGAATTATATGCACAAGAAATATTGTATATCTTTCACAAAAGAAGCGGAGCTTCCTCCCGTGCTCTTTACGGAAATTCCTTTGCCTATGTCCTCACTCTCCTGCATCAGCTCGACCAACCGCGCAAGTTGCCTTTTGTTGCTTACAATTTTTTATCTGTAATTCAGACACATATGTACATACATATGTATATTTCACAATTTTTAACAACTTCCAATTCAATTGACTTACTTTTTATCCATTATAGTACCACTTTCTTATCGATATTTTATAAACGCAAACTCCAACGACTAAAAAACAGTAATAGAAGGATGTGCGATTAAAAAGTTTCACAGTCGCTGATTGAGCGACTAATACTAGGTTCACATATAAGTAGATTATCCTCATTTTCGAGCTTAACACCCTAATCTGTAATTATAACAAGAGATTAGCCATATAAAATTCGTCCCTTGTTAATCTGTAATTATAAAATAATCTCAGATTTAACCGATAACTTTTCGGTGTCCATCCTAGTTTTATCGATTGTTTTTGCGAAAGAGAAGAGAAACGCCAAATGTAAAAGTAAACAAAAATGTACGCTAGCAAATAAAAGAGGTTTGTAAAGGCATTTTTAATAAAATGTTAAGTTAAAATATATTTATATTGCTTATTATAGCAGAAAAACGTGATCACGGTGGCACAGAGAAGAAACATAACTTTTCCTTGAGATGTGAGAATAACAAGCACAACAAATTTGACGGCTAATAATCTGAGATTTGCCTGTGTAAACGTGGTGATTAAAAAACGAGCTTTGATTGAGATAATATTGATATGTGAACATAGTTTAAGCGACACTCACAATAGCATCGATAATCGATAATCGCTTAATAGTCGTTTATCTACTGCCAGTCGACACCCGCAATAGGGGTGTTTGTTTATTTTTCCACAGGTCCACTCGTATAGTGCAACAGAGTAGGTACCGTAGTGTAAAAAAAAACCTTTGATGAGGTTTTTTCTTGCACTAAACTTAAACCTTTTCTCAAGACCGATAGAATACAAGATTGCGCTGGTTAATGTAAAATTCGGAAGAGTAACGTGACGTCATAGCAAATTTTCCGGTGGCTGAGAGAGATCTGTCAGTATGTATATTTTTGTATATGTATATTACACAGACAATAAACAAAATCTGCTATGACGTCACACTTCTGTCAAAATTTCCAAGAGAGAGCGGTATCACAATGAGCGCCTTCTGTATACGTTTCACCATGAGCCTTTTCTTGCGCTAATTGTGGAGATAGTTATACCATGTTCTGACCGACATCGAAAACATGTTTTCGTTGCTAAAACTGGTTTTCGACTTAAAACTTGTGTTTTCGTCCATGTAAAATCTGTCAAACGAAAACCAGTTTTCGCTGAAAACTACTTGAAAACTCACGTTCCACTCATTCCAATCGGTGTCTTCACTAGTTTTTTCGATTGTTTATCGAAGTGGAAGTCATATTTTGTAATCTTTAATACGCCATTTCGGATTTATTGTTAATTGGCTGGCAAAAGTAAAATAAGAATGAAAGTAACAGGTTGCTAATGAAAAGAAAATGAGGGAAAAGCATTTTGGTTTTGTTTTTGTGTAGCAAAACTGTAATCAGAGGTTGTAAGAAATGTCAACGAAAACACTAACAGCCGGTGTAAACAGCCTTCAGCCCACAATCCCAAAACACGTTTTCAAAGTGTTTTCGTTGTCGGTCAGAACATGATATTATAGCCTGTTCCCATACTTCACGATTTGCAGGTTTTACAGGAACAGCTGTGGACGTGGCGTTCGGGAACGACTTTGGTCTAAATCCTACAAAACCTGCAAATCATAGACGTTCTGGAACGCACTAATTGTTATGCACTGCACTTTTAGTGATTTCTTCGAAGAGACCTCATATGTATTCGAAAACTCCGAAAAAGTTTATCACCTCTAAAAAGTTCTCTGGTTAGATTATAAAAAACTCTTGGCAACACTGAAAAACATTTGTGTACTGTCAAAATAGGAGAATAGTCAATAGATTATAAAACGAGCCAATTGTAGATTAAAAGAAAGGAAAAACCTTGTAAATATATTTTTAATTACAAAATGTCGATTTTAATAAGATGTGCGCGGATACGGCAAGTTTTACTGGTAAGCTTCCTATAGCTGACACTACACCTTAACTGCTCAAAAACACACGAAACCAGCACTCAACCCTGCGGTGGGCTTCTTAAAACTAACCTATTTTTCAAGAGGAATATAAGATAAACGCATTCCATTTTAATCAAATAATATATTCGATCATTCATGGCACAATCACCATACTGTCAACTAACCTTGCGCGTTGATTTGTTTTCTTTTCAGCAACGGATGTATTCATCTTCCAAGTCTTCTAATCCATCAACAAACACTGAGGTTAAAACGATACCCAAAAACTTACTCGAAGATAGTCAAACATCCCATCTGCAAGCAGAGAATGGTGCTATCTTTGACAAGAAGCCATTCAAAATTCATTTAGAAGCGAGTAGGTGAATCAAATCATTTGTAAATAATACTATACTCCTATGTATACCTTTTTCAACTCTCCTTTAGATAAAATTTATAGCTGGTGTCTATGTGGAAAATCGAAATGCCAGCCAATTTGCGATGGTATGCATAAGAATGAGTTCTTAAAAATAAAGTTACGGTAAGTAATTACCAAAGCTTTAGTGGCCCCAAATTATTACATTATACAATTTTTTCCGTTGCAGACCTGTACGATTTCAAGTGGAAAAAACTGGTGATTATTGGCTATGCAATTGCAAGCAAACCAAACATCGCCCTTTCTGTGATGGCACGCACAAGCAAGCGGATATTCAAGCCGCTGTGCGATAACTAAACCGAATATCTGAAAATACCTACTTTTTAATGAATTAAAGTGTATTCATTTAAGTGTTTCTTTGTTTATTATTATCTCTGCAGGCGTCCAAAAGCAATAAAATATCGATACGCATGTTTTTAGATGCAAGCAACAAATGTATATATAGTGTATTTTCACTTTTATATGTTGGTTATACTTTATACATACATAATATTTACTTATTTTCTATATTCCCGCGTTTTATGTATTATATTTTGTTATTAAATGAGCAACACTTCTCATATTATCAGATGAATGTCTATAGTTATGCATGCAAAATATTAATATCTTAATAATTTGTATAACTCAAGATCAATATAAAGGCTTCATTCAGTTCTTTAACAAACAAGTAACAAAATACGTATTTACAAAAACTCTTGTTTTTTCAAAAAGTTGATGTTTATACATCTTCATAACGTTACCTTTAATTTTGGTGACTACTAAAAAATTAAAAAACAAAAAAAAACACATGGGTAATTTCCAAACAAAGAGTACATGGCAAGTATTTTTTATATATTTTTGAAGATTGGTAAATTTATCCTCCGAAATCGTTTACAGACGTGAACATTTCGGCAGAGTACGAAAGTACTTTCAGGCTTCAAAAATTATTATATTTTTCTTATTTTTGTATAATGTTTTCCGGAATGTCACTTTTTTAAAAGTAAGTTAAAGGATTAAATCAGTTTGGAAACTATTAGAAAAAGTATACTAACCGATAAGCATTGTACTGATTTTTAACATTAAATATTAGGGCCTTTGCATACTAATTTAACGATGGGTATGTATGTATGTGTATGATGATAATGTGGTTACAGCGTTTATGTTGGTTTTTTTTGCGAAAGGCGTTTACATATTACAAATGTACATTTTTATATTTGTTTTGTAAAAGCTTGTTACTGCAAGTAAATTTGTATATATTTATATAAAATAGATAAGGGTTCCCTTCTAATAATATGTATAGTAAGCACTTTCTCAGCAAATTTTGGTAGTACCGTTATTTTGTTGAAAAACCAGTGTTTTGGCAAATCAAAATCTCAACAAATCACATAATAAAATCTTGGTCGAAAATATAAAACGCCACACCAAAAGCATTTTTTGACTACAATATTGATATTGAAGGACTCTTAAATAGCCCACAGAATATTTTATGCTTCAGTTTGTATTATTATAAATGTAGTTGTACGACAAACAACAATATTAAGAATACTATTAATTTCGCTATAAATATGCACCTGGATATGTTTTACTATATGTATGTATGTATGCAAGTATTCATACTAATTGTTTACTAGTAATTCAACTAAACAGATATCGGTGTAATCGTTGCATCAGTTTTCAACTGATAATTTGCTTTGCAAAGAGGGTCTAACACAGTATGGTGGTCCATTAGCATGTTGTAGGAGCCTTTTTATAGCTTCATTAGCGACGTTAGTTAAACAAATAGCTCAAACCTAAAGCAAGCAAGACAGGAATAGAACGAAATAGAAGATATTTATTTAATATCTGGCTGTATTAATAAAACCAACTACTATGTAGTGTGCATTTGAGAGTTTACAAAAAATTCCAATTGATATACTGCAAAAAATCTAAACAAAACAAAAGACTTAAGATACGAACAGCAATCAAATTTTATACTAACAAAATTGAAGCGACAAAACAAAATCGTATAAAATCATAAACAAAAAATGAGTTGAGGCGTTGATCCCCGAATTTACTCATTCCGTACTTTAAATAAAAGAAAAAGCAGCGAGAAAATCTAACTATACAAATTAGGCGGTACTAATAAATATTGCCCATAATAAAGCAAAAACCTTGCGAATAACCAAACAACTTTCTGCAAGTTTTAAGAGTTCGGGTAGTTCATAAATGCTTCTACATCACACTACCATATGTGTACTATATGTACATTTCGCAAATTTTCTATAAGAATGTCATGACTCAAAAAATTAAATTTTTGAAATTTAGTGCTAAAGTCTTTTGGGGTTTCTGCTAGCGCTGGAAGTTCTATCAAGATATTCAAATATCTGAAAATCCGCTTTTTTGAGTTATGGAAAAAACATTTTGATTTCACAGAGAAGCTTTAGCAATTAACTTTGCGATACATATGAAGACAGAGATGCTTCCAGACCAGATTGTTCCGATGAAACCACAGCCAACCAACCAGCCGGTTTAGAAGCAAGATACCTACACGACAAGAGTTATGAGCCAGTTCGTAAACGCATTACTGCAAAAAACAGCCCAATTTATTTCTAAACTATAATTTATGGAGAAGTCCAGCATTCGTAGACACGGTTTAATGCCCAATTGGAACTAAGCTGTGAAAAAAACCTTTGCAGTAAAACTGGGGGTTGCATTTACGAACTGACTCTATGTACGCCCAACTTAACTTGAATAGGCACACTTAATGAAAAACCTTTTGGCGCCTTTTTTTTGCAATAGATATGTATGAGCCATGTATTCATTTGATGAATCAAGGAGTTAATACCCAATATACATATGGTCGTTTAAAGCACAAAACCGCGTATCAAGAAAATGCAAAACCTCGTATGTGAGGTTTCCCAAATTTTATAGGAGAGGAAAACTTGTCTTGTGTCAAAACGGTTCCCTCTTTTATCCCTAATTATCTTTTCTGCTTATTCAGCATGCCTGTGCAGTTGTATGGCGCGGATACATGCACAATTAAAACATCTGATGAAGTGGCTCTTGGGAGTTTTCGAGAAAGATTTACAGGCCTTTGTGTGTTGGCGATGGCGAATACCGCAGACGATTTAACGATGACCTGTATGAGTTTTACAACGATATAGACATAGTGCAGCGAATTAAAATTCAACGGCCTCGCTGGCTTGGTCATGTCATACGAATGCACAGAAACGCTCCAGCTCTGAAAGTATTCGAGCTGCAATAAATGCGGTAGCAGTACTTTTTATGCAAGAGCATCACGAAAATTTGGGCAACTCTGCCGCCATCACGTGTTCGAGGAACGAAAGTTGAACAATCCGTCGCTTATCACTAGCAAATCAAATGCAATACAAAAACTTTTACTGCAGCATTTCAGTCGAGCATCAAGGAAGCGACAAGGTTGCAGTTGAAATATTGCGGTAAATTAAATTATTACGTTGCACGAACATACCCAAAGTTATGCCATTCATACTAAATAGACTATTTTATACTCCAAGCCACTATGTAGTTATATTCTATATGGTGAAATTTATACACAACATGAAATTAGGAAACCTGCCAAGTATTTAAATGATCGCGTGAGATACAACAGGGAGGTTCACAGCTATCAAACAAGAAATATGAATAATTTTCATTTGCCAGTAGTAAGACCTAAATTTTTTATAGGAATATTATTTTGGTAAAAACTGAATATAAGCCCTCGATACATTATGAGGGAATAAGAGAACATAATGAGCTGCCAAGCAATATAAAAGACTGCAATAACACCACAAAGTTTATTCAAATTTTAGGCATCTTATGTTCAAAACTCTTCAAGCAGTTTGAATTAAATGAAAACATTAAAGAAAGTATATATGTACATACAGCAAACAAAAGGTAAAACTAAAAAACTAAAACCAAAAACACGAATGCAAATGGATATTTTAGTTTTAAATTTTAATTATATTTAATTTGCTTCGTATTTTATTTTCATTGAAAATAATTGCTGCACTGTTTAGCTACATGGAGATATAGAGAAATAATAACAAGCGCAGAAAACATAAAATAAATTTTTCAAAACTTAAAAAAGGTAATGACGTGTTGTGCACGTGTCAGAGCAGACGAACGGATGTGATACATGGATGTGAACGAAGGTTCTGCGCTCACTTGCCAATATGCAATAAAATAGAGCTTTAACAGTAACTCATAATGGTCAAATCAAGACGCAGACATAATTTTTCCAATTTAGATATATGTATATATGTATGTACATATGTACTACTTTTACCGCTAATTTTTTTGTGCAATCTTAAAGAGGTAAAGCCAAGATTATTTATATTAACAGCCGGTTTCACCAGCAATTTAATGATTTTTTACTTTCTGTCAATTTCCATACAAAATTTAAATAATTTTTCACTTAAATTGCTTTGGCGAAATTGGCTGTAAGTACAATTTTTTTGTTAATTTGGAAAGTATTTAATTAAGCCGTAAAATGTTAAAGCTGTTGTACTTTTTTAAATTTGTGAATATCAATAAAATAATGGCCCTATTATGTATAGCGACTGGTGGCTAGTTGCTGGTCTAATAGCCGTACTTTGTATTATATATAGCGATTAATCTCAGACAACATCCGAATTTACTTTTTTGACATGTACATTTCGAAGTAATTGGCAATTTTGCTCTAACGTGTTTAACAACTTATATAAACAAATAACAAAATCACATAAGCAGGAAACAGAAAATTGCGCTACTGAACTCTGGCTACTACCATACCTAATGCGAATTTTAGTATATGGTTGCCCATCGGCTATCAGTATCCATGCATAATAGGGTCATATGTATATTCTAGTTTGCCAACGTAATGCGCACTTCAGCAAAAAGTAAACAAAAAATAAATCTAAGTACAGTGTCCCCTCCCTCAGTAATCGCGACTCTCGATAAACGCGAAACCTCGATTTTCGCGAAGCACCAATTACATTACCACCTTTTTAAACGTGACATTTGAAATTGTTTGAGCTAAATAACCACGAAAATATGCACAAAATTAACTTACATATCATATGTACATATGCCAGATGATAATTCAGGTAGGCCTTCTTAAGTAAAGCCATTCTGAAAGGTATACCCAAGAAGGGTTGAGAAAGGAGCTTCTCTGCATGCCTTCTAGAAGGGCTTTTCATTTTTACCATTACGCGAATATATATAAATAAACATTATTTAGCAATGCAAATGAATTATGTATTTTCAGTTGCAATATGCCAAATTGGGTATGATCTTTAAATAAATATATTAAAGAAGTATAATTTTTAGATCTTTAATTTGTGCCAAACCATACAAAATAGAAAGGAGAAAGGAATGCAAAGTGGAAGGCCTCCTGTATCTCAGGAAGGCGTTTTAACCCCTGAATTTGTCTACTGGAATTGGTGACTACAGTATTTTATCTATTTTCTTTAATTGTATAGTAAAAAAAAGGCCCGGTAATCGCGACAACCTCGGTAATTGCAACAACCAGTGATTTTAATCTGTCGCTATTACCGAGGGGGTACTGTACCCGAAAAACTTAATTCGCAGTGCCAATAAATAATTAGGTTTAAACTTAATTTGCCAACGCACTATTTTTATACACATGAGCTTCTCCAGTTTACGCTTTTCATATTTTCCATGTAATACTTGTTATTTATGAAAAGAAAAAACATTCCTCAAAACTGAAAGGAGCACATTGCTACTGTAGTCTCTCCGATAGCGCACAAAACCTTGCTGCTCCCCAGTTGCTCGGCAACGCACTCCTCTAACTAAATCTTACTAAGCAAATCAGTCATATGTGTGTATGTACAGTTAGTCACAGTCCCAAGAACATACATTTACACACATGAAGTAGTCAATTAGTTTTTATAACCTTTTATTATTAACGTTTTATGTTTAAACATTTTTTTTTTTATTGAATTTCTTTCGTTAGATTGTTTTCGTGTAGTTTAAAATATACTTCGCCTTATCTGTTGGCTTCATCAGTGCTTCATTGATTATAGCAGTAGCGCCATAACTTTCCATTCTAAATTGTCATTGAGAGTACATCAATATTTTCAACATTTATCCATCATGTTTAACATAGTTTATTATGCTTAAATTCTTGTATTATTATTTTTAATCTTCTTTTGTATATTATAATATTTTTTCTCAGTATCTGTTTCTGTTTATGTTGCAGTTCTGTAATCAATCCTCCTTGTGAGTTGTTGCTCTTAATACTCCTCATCCTCGGGCGGAATTTCATCCGGAGGCGCAAAACCATCCTGTCAATGTGTAATGTATAGGTGTGTAAAAGTTTCGAATGAAATGTAAATGGGCAAGGAGTAAATGAGTGTTAGGCAGATGAACGCAAGAAAATGTTGACAGACGCACGCATAAAATGTACACACATATGCAAAGGTGACACACATTGGAGCAGTGCAAATATGAACATATGCACATTGTGGGATGAGTAATGCAGCAGGTTATGTGACAGTTGGTGAAGGTTGGTTGTAGACGAGATGTGGTGTCAGGTGCCAGGAGTGCGTAAAATGATATTTTCAAAAGATTTTTATCGTTCCAATGATAAATAACGGCCACGTGGTGTTTTTCGTGTTGTTTTAGGTGTATTGATGATAACAAAGAAAGAAAAAAGAAAAAAGTAAAGTTATAAATTTAAATCAATAGAAGTCATTGGCTGTTAAGACGATATGCCAAAATGTGTTAGTATTTTATATGAACGGTTTAATAAAAAAATGCCAATTAACCGCGTATAATCTAAAGAAAAAATGTCAATAGGTGGTACATAAAAACTGTAACCACAGTGCGTTACGCGCACAAAGCCGCTAGAAATATTTTTGTTGAATGCGCCAACGCTAAAATAAGCATTTGCATATTTAGATACTTAATTAAAAATTTTTAATTTTGTACATCATTTTAATATTTGAAATATTATAATTTAAAAAAAAAACTTCGCATAATAGGTATGTATGTATATACAGAATTTCTACAGTTAACAATAAAGTGAGAAACCAAAAATAAACAGGAGCTGTGTAACATTATAAGATTTTTATTTAAAAAATTAGTTTTTCCATAAAACTCGAAAAATTACACTGCCACATAAAAAGTGTCGGGGTCCGGAGGTCTCAGGCTATCCTTTTCGTATGTATTTTGATGCGTTGAACACGACTCTGTAGTCCGTTTTGCTCTGTCAGGCAGGATTTTATCTTAACCTCGAAAATACAACCCCAACCCCGACACTTTCCTTTATGTATAACAAGTACTTTTTAGTTATTATTCCTTGCTTAGAAAATGCAAGTTAAATTTATATTTTTGTCTTTTGTTTGTTCGAGTATTGAGTTTAATTTTTGCATTTTATTTTTTGAAACTGGATTCAACTTGATTTCTCACTTCATAAATTGGCATTTGAAATAACTAGTTTTTAATTTAAAATTTTGTTCAAAGGAATATTTTTGGGGGTGAAAAAAGAAATATACAAATGAAATTACACATACAGAAGTGTTGCGCTTTACCTCGGTCGCATACATAATATCCAAAATCTTCTGTATTAAAGGATGCGGGTCACCTTCTGCAGCTTCTTGGCAGCTATTAGAAAAATGTGAAATTTTTTATTTTGAATGCATAAAATATGAATGCGTGTATAATAATGCAGAAGCGTTGGTTATGTTTGTTGAATGAGAGATGTTGTTGAGAATTGAAAAAACTGAACAATATAATGCTTTTTGGATTGTGTGGTTTCTATTCGTTCAAATGTATGTATATGAAACTTTAAATATTTAATTAACAAAAAAATTCGGATACCAGTTAACGACTCTACAAATATGTATGCATTATTTAAGCTATATAACTTTGTTACTAAAGTTTAATATTTTTAATTTGATGCTGAGCACACTACCGCAATCAAATCCGAAAGCGAATAACTACTATGTACATTTATCGGCAATAGCACAAAGCTAGAAAAGGATGTCCGAATTATTATTTCTTTTTAACTTGGAATAAGTGGTCAAAGCTACAAAAAAATAAAAAATAAATTCTTGGATCGGAATTTGAAACCGGCTGTGGTCGCCCCGCTACAATTTTCAAACTTCTTGTCTTTTAACTGTACAACGCCAACGCTTCAATAACTTATGCACAATTTTACTTATACTTACAGAATTTCTATGTCACGCAATTTTGAGAAATAGAAATCTCTCTCTTTCTCCAATCCTTCCAAGTTTAAACGCATATCCATTACCTGTAAATGTGCGATAATCCAAGGATGTATTTAAGAACATTTATTCATTCATTAAAAATCTTGCCTGATTGGACAATTCTTCAATTTGTTGATTTGATACCGCATTAGAGGCATCGCCAGACTTCTTGACCGCACCGGTGGTATTATTCACGGCAACTGTCTTAGTTACGACAGATGGTGCAGCGCGAGGTGGTACTTTAGAGACTGCGCAAATGCGTGGGTTATCAGGATCAAAAATAAAAAATTACAATGTAAGTATATTTACAGACAGTATTAATACAAATAGAGGAAAACATTTTATTATTTTAAGGGTAAATTTAACAAACGTGAAGCACGTACGCGTTTCAATTACCAAAAGGAGATTTTTAACGCTTTTTTGATTGCTTGTGATTTCTTTTCATGCGGAAAATGTTTTTTTTGGAAAAAATGTGCTCTCAATTTTGTTAAATGAAGCAAAAAAAAACACAAATACTATGAAGCAATGAATAATGATTTTGAACGAATATTTGATGAACTAAATATATAAATAAATAAATTTTGATGAAATAAAATAAATACGAATAATTTTTAGACGCCAACGAATTTCCAATCGTTTCTGTAATATAAAATGTACATATTGCTCATTTATGTACCTCAATAGTGTCCTAATCCAAAAAATACAAATATTAAGTTAGGTACGCAGAAATTAATCCTACTACCTCTTCTTCTACGTTGTGTAAAAATTTCAAAGATGTATCGATTACCCGTAGCAAAAAGCCGTTTTTCTCGAGTTTGGTTTTTTTTTTTTGAGTTGACATTATTGAAGCTAATGAGCGATATGTGAGTACATATGTATATTATAGTAAACATAAACATACAAAATAAAAAAATAAGTGCAAACATATAAAAACATGAAAGGATATATATAAAAAAAGAAGCGAATCGGGGAGGAACAAAGCGCTTTTAGAAAGTGATGATTGATTTATATGTACACATGATATAGATACTATATAGGTAGGTAATTTAACACCACATACTGGGCCGTGTCGTCGATGTTGTTGAGGGACGCGTCGGTGGTGCTATGGAAACTGGCTTGCGTGAGGATAACGAACCGCCACCAGTGCCAGGTAACGCTTTCACCACACCCGAACCAAAACCCATTGGTGCACCGTCTCTAGCAGCGCTGGCATCATAATCTCGGCCATCATAATTGGCATCGAAGAATTTTTTAAACCATTGCAAGAATTCGAAATTATCTTGAAAACGGCCCTTGATCAGTTTGTCAATTGGGATTATCTAAAATATGGAGTATACGAAAAAAGAACCAAGGTGAAAAGCAAAAGAAAAGATAAGACAAAAATCATAAAAGATAAAATGTGAGAAATAAAAAAGTAATGGAAATGATGCAACATAGAAAACGCAAATGAAATGTTTTAAAAAAGTAGATTACTTTTTGTAAGACACCTTAGCAAATTCAGAGTTGCAATATATTGCAAAACCATATTATAGGCACAAAGAGTTATGATACGTAAAAGTGGCAGCATAAAACTGTAAGTGCGTTTTCCAATAAATGAAAAGTAATTATATATTCAACTATTATTTTGCCACTCAGAAATCAACACAGTTGATATTGTAAATAAAGTATTTCGTTTTCACTAAGCTCAAAGCAAAACGAGTGCATATTTTAGTGATACAATTAGCCGTGACGGCGTTTTATTGGTGAATATATGAGATATGTATATAATATAAAAAACTATTTTTTTTGAAGATCAAAGCAATTAAAAAATAGCCAAAGCGTCATTTAACGGGAAATGCTAAAAAGTATGATAAAAAATGCTAATTTTTTCAAGTCGAATTCGGAATACGCAGCAGTATAAGCAACTATGTACATACATACATACATATGTACATAGATATGTAGGTTTATTTAACCACATTTTTTCTTTAACTTCTTCTTCGAACTCCCGGTGAATCAGTATACTAGTGCGAAGTGCTTGCTACCTTCATGACCAGTAACTCCAAGTGCATATTTCATGGTATAATAAAAAATGTGACATTCTTTTTATTAAAAAGTGAAATTCAAACAAAACAAAAAACTGAAATTAAATGTGTGAATAAAACTGGAACAAACCAAAATTACGAGCTTCAAAACAACCTTTGCAAGACGACATACCCCAACATTTGAAAATACACTAAATACGTAACAATATGCATTTGTATATACTAAACAGCTGCACAAATGCACTTTAAGCTGGTTTCAAATCAAGTGTTCATTTAAAATAGCAGTGCAATTTTTGGGTTTTCTTAAGTTAAAAATAAATATGATGATTCGAGCGTTTTTAACACTGGTAAAGACTTTTTTTCATATGTTCAGTTCAGTTATTGGTGAAATAGGAAAAATTAGCTAAAAAGTAAACTTCAATTTTCAATTGAAAAAATATTTCGAACAAAGCTTTCTTTAAGCCTAAAGACTTATTTTTAAATAGAAAAAAAGCGGTAATTTTAGCCCTGGATGTATTTTCGAATCATCTATAAGAAGCATGATTAGAAAAAAAACTAAAAATTCTAAAAACGCTGCAAAAAATACGAAGAAAACCCAACAAGTCTTGAGTGACCCCCAAAAAGTATAAACTACCGAAAAAATCTGCAGAATTTATAAAAGTTCTAAAAAAATCTCGAAAATGCCAGGAATAATTTGAAAAGGTTCCGCAACAAATTAACAGCGAAAGACCTAATAAATTCCAGGACTTCAAAAATTTTCGGAAAGTTGCGAAAAAATGCTTGAAACCCTTACGAATAACTTTGAAAAGCAGTCGAGCGGTCTAAAGAAAAAGCCATAAATACCAAACAAAAAAACCGTATTTCGTGCTCTGTTGAGATACACGAACGATTGTTTTCTAATCTAGTGTCATTTGAAGTGTTTACTGCAAAAAAGTTGCCTATTGCTTAGGTAAAACCAAATGCACTTGTGCAGCAGTTTAATACGTACATACATGTGTAATATGTTTATACAAAAATACGCTAGTGACGAATATATTCAACGCAAAACACTAGTGACGAAATTGTGAAATGTTCAGGGTCACCAAGTAAACCTGTTGGCAAGAAAATCTGCTCATAAATGAATGTATGTAGAAAGTGCCAGTAAAAGTGATCTAAAGAGCGTATCAGACATGGGAATGCAATATATTTCGAAAGGGCTATTAAATTGAGAAATTTTAGGAAGCAGTTGCATGAGCCACACCTTGCATGTAAAGTGTCTTTCGAAAGAGGGTTTTTATTTTCGAAAAGCGAATTGCAGATTGCTAGGGCAGCACGAGCAAGTTGAAATATATTTCCGAAATCTTTCCGCTATCTCAATTGCAGTCACATCTTGCAACTTTTATTTCTGAAAATGGTCTCCGAAACGTGACAGAAAGATCTTCTGGCTGTTCACACATCGAAATAAAATTTCTCTTTCTCAATTTGACAGTGAATAGCGTTTAAATATTGCCACGTCTGACACGTTCTTAACTGTTCTGATGAAATGTATGTATGTTGTGATATACAAAATGCAAAAAATAAAATAAAATAAATAAGGTCCACATGAACGTAAATATATATGTATGTATTGTATGTACGCAGCTAGCAAACATACTAAAAACGAATATTAAAAGCACGTACATATGTTTATAATTATGTACTAAAGACAAAAACAAGCCCCCAGGGTGTTAGCTCAATGACGGCGAGTAGAAGTCGACTTGAGTTGTAGCAGGTCGGGTCGTGCCCAACAGCCGTTTCGAGTAAGAATTCTACGTAAAGTTCAAGGTGACCTCTGTCCCCTTATTATGACCATCATGTGCCTTCAAATACCTAATGTTTGTGCACGTACATTTGTATATACATACGTATGCAATTTTGTGCGAATGTGTGCTTCTATGTATATTTATGTGCGAGTACTTAGTACAGAGTGCAGTGAGCTTTATGCTTTGGGTTGTCATCATAGTAAAATGCGTCCAATTATTATCCTAATTTCTTGATTTTTTTTTACTCTTCTCAATTATAAATAGGTTCGTGCTTCACGTTGATTATTTAACATTTTGCAAATATTTTGCACCCTTATCTATGAAGCATGCAGAATTTGGAAGCTAAGATGAATCATCTGCTCTCCAACTCCTCGCATTTTGTCTCATTTTATTATTTGCCCACCTCCACCTCTGTCCGGCCTACCGCTAGTGCGTTGAGTTACAGCCGGTAGCGCGTGTGTTCGATTTGGCATCTGTACTATGTGTCGTTTCTCGAGTAAATCGTTGCTACTGCCACGGCCACTACTGCCGCCGCCACCACCAATGCCATTGCCCAGTTTGATACCACTACGTGCTATTAGCGGCTCATACTCGCGCCCATCGTAATTTGCATCGAAGAATTTTTTGAACCATTGTAAAAATTCAAAATTGTCTTGAAAACGACCCTTTATCAACTTATCGACTGGTATAATCTACAAATCATTAATCAGAAGGCAATTTCAGTATTTATATGCATATATATATATACATATATACATATGTAAGTTATGGTATATTTATTTTGAAAAATCTTTACATGAGGACACGAACTACGCATATGGTGTTTTTCTGGGCTCCAAAAATTCTTTCTCTACTACATTACCCGACACACCTGCTGACGTAGCCAATCTATTCGCAGAATTTTTCTCCTCCAATTATGTCTCGGATTCTAATGTTGCTTCTGAACGGTACCCTCTTTCAGATTCTGCCCTTAACTTAGGCGCACTGCATATTTCCGAAAGTGATGTAGAAGTAGCCATCTGCTCCATAAAGCACTCTTTTAAATTGGATTCTGATGGCCTCTCAGGTGCTATGCTCAAACGGTGCCCATCGCTTGTTCAGCCATTAACAATATTGTTCAATAAATCTCTTTCGTCTGGCTACTTTATTGACGACTGGAAAAAAGCTTTCATTACACCAATCTACAAAAGTGGGAACAAAAACGACGTTTCGAATTATAGGCCTATTTCCAAACTGGGCACTGTCCCAAAAGTTTTGGAATCAGTTGTCAAACAGAAGCTCAACTTCGCAGTGAAAAGTTTAATTTGCCCTTACCAGCACGGGTTTGTTAGTGGGAGGTCAACTGTCTCCAACCTTGCTACATTCATGGAGGACTGTGTCGCTGCGATGCAGTCAGGTCTACAAGTGGACGCTGTGTACACAGACTTTTCGAAGGCGTTCGATAGAGTTTCGCATAAAGTCTTAATTAACAAGTTATCGCGATTGGGTTTTCACTCAACTTTTCTGGAATGGATTAATTCCTATCTGTCCGATAGGTGTTGTACAGTTGCTTTTGATAACATACTCTCCACTCCTTTTGTAGCTACGTCGGGTGTTCCCCAAGGCAGTATCTTGGGCCCTCTTTTATTTGTCTTATTCATAAATGATATTGGATCATGCTTCCAGTCTTCTAAGTATTTATTATATGCTGACGATCTAAAGGTTTACTCAGTAATCAGAACCTCACAAGACTCTCTTTTGCTGCAAGCTGAGCTTAATAACCTGCATTCTTGGTGCTCTCTTAATTCCTTATCTTTAAATGTTAGTAAATGTTCCTACTCCACTTTCACCAGAAAGCTTCTTACCGTTCAAACTAATTACAATATTGGGGGCCATGAACTTAGTTATGTCGCAGAGGTTAAAGACTTAGGGGTTTACTTCGACTCAAAATTAACCTTCGCAACCCATATTAACTACGTAGTTTCCAAAGCTTATGCAATGCTAGCATTCGTACGTCGTAATGGTCAGTTGTTTAAGGATCCCTATACTCTGAAGCTTCTTTATGTCACGTTAGTGAGATCTAGGCTTGAGTATGCGTCTTTCATTTGGCGTCCCTATCAGGCTGTCTATATAAACCGGATTGAGAAGATTCAAAAAGTTTTTATTAAATTTGCCTTGCGTTCTCTAAAATTTTCTGAGCCTATACCTCCGTATACTTCCCGTTGTCAACTTATTAACTTAAGTTCGTTAAATACTAGGCGTTCTTTCCTAGCAGCCTCTTTTGTGGCCAAAATATTGGAGGGCACAGTCGATTGTCCTAATCTTTTGGATAAGTTAGCATTAAACGTCCCGTCTCATAATTTGCGTCGTGTTTCTTTATTCTACCTGGGATTTCCTAAATCTAACTATGTAAAATTCTCGCCTTTGTTCAGAACCCTTTCTGAGCTAAATGAGCTCTCTGAATATGACCCGTCTCTCTCATTTGGAACAGTTCGTTTTGTCCTACTTAATTATTTTAGGTAGTATATAAGCTCTCTTGTTTTATAGTCAGTAAGGATTTATTCCATTTGATTAAATAAATAAATAAAATAAAATAAAATAAAATAAAAAAAATTATTTTATAACTGCAAAATTTTTAATATGTTTTTATTGTAAGGAATATTTTTTTGAGCCAAAAAAAGATATTGGTGTACATTCAAATTGCTAGGCTTTATTTTTCAATTACTCTTGAGCTCGTTCCACATGTATTAAAAAATTAACTTTCGAAATTTAATTTTTATTTTTTTCCATAAAACCAAACCTCTTTCAATAACTTCTCTTCTGACATACGCACGTCCTTTCTTTACGCATATCAAACCAAATATCAAATCATTATACATGAACTATGCTAACCACACAAAAAAATAAAATTCATCTAAAACTCAAACAACTAAAGTCTAAATTTGTATAGAAAATAATGCTTTTTAAAACTGAAACTGATAAGTTTTCATTGATTGCAGTAGAAAATATACACTAGATCTCATATTACCTTGTCAACGGCCATCTTTTTGAAAGAAGCTTGTAAGATTTTAAAATTCTGAATATATTCATGTTCCAAATTTGTGCGGAACTTGACTCTTTTCATTGGTACCGAGCCGGGAAACAGCATATCCATGAACTGGCAATAAGCAGCGCCTAAATAATACGCAAGCAATAAATGATTATGTACACATGGATATGTAATCCTCTACTCACCAGTGCAGAGCTCTTCAATTTTACCAAATTGCGCTTGCAGACAATCGTTTACCCAAGCGAGCATATCATGTCTGGATAAATTTTCGGTAGTCACATTTGTGGAGTATACGTTGACTGCCATTGTTGTATTATTATTGTATTCCTGCTCTTTTTTTTTTGTTTTTGCTGTTTGATTCTGTTTTACTGCACACTCAGTAGATGACTAACAGTCTCGTCTTCTCTTCACTATCGTTATGACTGTCTCGATAGGCCGATAAACTGAATTAAACCAGTGCTTATTATTGTGGTGGTGGTGCACTTGCACGTAATCTTTTTCTACTCGTTGCTTACGTTTTGTCTCTTCTTAGCAACAACTGCAATAAATAGAATGAAACATACAAATACAAATATTTTAGCATACAAAAGAAATAAAGTTGTACATAATAAGATGTGCGGCCTAAAACCACAACCAAAGGCAAAATAACTTCAATACATTGTGACTCAAGTTGCAGTCGATTTTCAGATGTAGCGAAGCGGAGCGTATGCTCGGTGTAATTTATAACATTGCCATAGCAAATATCTTCATTTGCGCTATTTGTAAGCAATTTGCTTGCTAGACTTTAAATTTTATTTTACAAATTAGGAAATTTTTTAAGGTGCAAACGGTTTTGGCGCCATCAAAATTTACTGCGTTGCTGTTGTGGCCGCCACTTTAATTACGGTTTCATTGATATACATATGTAACTTTGTATACACTTTTTCTTTTAACTGTTGTCTACTAATTACTGCTACATTTAATTTAATTGTTAAGACAATAAGTGAAGCATGACAGGCGCGTGCGTAATTTGCACTTACGTTATTTTGACGCACATCATAAGCAACAGCAACAGATGTTCCAACGAAACTGAAACTCAATGCTTAGAACAATTTATCTAAATTTGGATATCTGGATCGCGGTGTTCGCAACTACAAATATGAACATTTTTCAATAAACAAAAACAGATGTCTTAATTATATTAGTGTTTACTCAAACGTTTGTGGAATTTGTGAAAGAAATGTCCGAGTATATTAGGGTGTAGTGTGATTGATGAAAACCACAAAATTTCTCCCACTACTGATTTTCAGCCAAATCAATGTTGTACCAATGACGTGTAAACAAACCGATTGACATTTGTGCAGGAAATAGTGCTTTTTGCATCTGTTCGTTCTCCTTTTACTCTCACTTGAGAGAGTAAAATTGTAGTTTGACAGTTCCACAGGTTTTAGTCCGAAGAATACTGAAACAAACTAAATATTTAGTCTGTTGCAATACGAATCCGGTTTACAGGATTTAGTCAGAAGTTACAGCAAGTCGTTCCTATAGACAAAAAAACGTGTCACTGGGAAAACATCTGAGAGAGTAACTAAGCAACTCTTCCTAGTCAGATGTTACAGGATTTAGTACGGACTTGCATTTGTAAACTAAAGCAGTACGCGGTGAAAGCAAATAACCTTACATTTATTAATAAAAAAATGGAAGTAAACAACGAAATATTTGAATATGTACGCAATTATTCTCAATTGTATAGATTTTAATAATTATTTGGTGATCTTTCCGCCAAATCAATGTTGTACCAATGACATGTACACAAACCGACTGACGTTTTTGCAGGAAAAGGTGCCTTTTGCGATCTTGTACACTTCTGCAACTGTTCTCCTTTTACTCTCACTTGAGAGAGTAAAATTGTAGTTTGACAGTTCCTCAGGTTTTAGTCCGAAGTTCAATGGAACAGACCAATTATATTGATTTGGTCCAAAATTATATAGTCGACACTGTTCATATGTACATATCGTTATAGCCCAGTTATGCATACTTAGCGTAGCATGAGAGTTGTCACATAAGAATCTGTTAAATGGGCTTTGCGTGTAGGGCAGTTAGCCAACGCATAGCACTTAACACGTAGAATTCAGTTGGGTATAGCAGTGCAAGTTTGCATAACTGGGTGTATGGAATGGGCTTAACTCACATCGTCGCTGAAATACAAAAGCCGTAACTATTTAAAAATCCTAACTTCACTTTTTAATTGATTATGTTGCATTTCATAGAATTACATACATATATAAGTCCCCACAAAGTTGTATGCAATACAAATTTTAGTTAGTTGAGGCTTTCTTGCATTTCAGCGACGATGTGAGTTACGCCCTTTCCCTTCTATACTAACGATATATACATACATATGTATGTACATATGCACTATGTACAATGAGTAACTATATAAAATCGAAGATTACTTATACGCAAAAAAAAAGAACACGGAAACATTACTTTGCGACACGCAATCGCTCTACCTTGTGCTACAACGAAATGTTTGCGGCAAAGATGTGCCACGGAATTGGTTCCGCGAGTCTATTTTAAACACACCGACAACCGTATGACTCAGGAGGACAAACAGTAAAATATTTAATTTTAAGATTTCAAATCGTATACATACAAAATTGTATTTATGCTGTGGTGACAACCAAGTAGCCGCGTTGCTCGGAAAAGTTTAATGCTGCATGAATATCACAGCATGCTACATGCCGCATGCCACCAAATGACGAAAACCGAATTCCCTAAGTTGATTGCTGCTGCCGTGTGCAACGTGCAACGATCTGCGTTTTCAATTTTTCTCTTTTCAAAAAGGCAAAACAACAAAAATAGACATTACAACAAAATGAGAGAACACCACCAACAAAACGAAGCATTCGTCAGCACTTTCAAGAACAATATCAAGCGAACAATGAACTTTACCGTGCGTCAGCCAACTTAGGTTGGGTCGGTCGGTCGAGCGACCGGCAAGCCTACACAAAATAAAAAACTCTGCATCTGACATTTTGGAATGAGGAAAAACTTTAATGGGGAAATAGGAAGTTGGCGGTGCTGCATAGATAGAATGTTAAACAATTATACTATTGTGAACATAATTAGAGCGAGAATAAAGAAGAACCATAACCCACTATTTATAAAGCGTTTTCATTAAGTAATTAACACTAACAATTGCTAAACAATTCACTGATAAAAATTAATAAAACAACCGCGGAGTTCGAAAACGAGGGACTAGATCGAGTTAGTTTAGTGTTAGACCCTAATTTTAACCTGCAGAAAAAATAAACTTTACATTTAATCACTAAACTTACCTCACAGATAAATACTAAAAAAAAAACAGCGCATAATAAATAAAGAATGCAAAGTTTAAATAGCACAACTAAACACTTTCTATAAACACACCTTTGGATTCGCAGACTACCTACATACTTTTGCTATCTTATATAAGTGCATACATATGTACGTACTTACATACATACATACGGCTATAACCGTACACAACCATTCAGATTTGTGCTTATTTTATTCCATTACCTCTTGCACTTGACCATATGTTGCTCAGTGTATGTATGTATGTATAGAATAAGCGACATTGACGCTGGAACGTTCAAAAACAGGTTGGCATAAATAAAAATTGAGAAAGCGTATCAAAAATATCTGTAAGGCAATGTCAAAAGTTAATCAGCACTTTGATCATAAACTAGGTACTGTAGCACTAGAAATCAGTAAAAATGAACGACATCAAAAAGAGAAGTATTTACTTAGACTTATTATTAAAAAATGACCCAAGGCTAAAATGAAAATAATTTGTTCTTGCGGCATAAATTACATATGGATGTATATGAGGAGAAACGAAAAAAAAAAACATGCTATTCAGCCGAAATCATCTAAGGCTATCAAAGCCAAACGTTAGGCTTCTCACAGGCCACATGGCCGTCAGTTTCGGACCCCGTACAACGATTTCAGCAGATGTTCCAGAAAGCATTTTGATAAACGCGGGATTTCGGGATGCGAAAAATTTTTGTCCCGTGTTTTTTCGGGATGTGATTTGTTTAATGATTTATACTTTTTCGCTCTGAGATTAAAATTGTTATTTAGTTTTATTTTTCCAGCCAACTGACACTTTGGGCATACAAATTTTGAGACTTATTCCTTTTATTCGTATTCGCGAATTATTAAAAAAAAACTTTAATCTTTGAAAATTATAACAGCTTATTGAAAGAAGCATATTTGGCCGAGATCGAGAGTATTTTTTTTATCAAAGCTTAAATAATAATGAGGTTTTTCCCACTTGCCTGGTTATCAGGTTATCTGGTTATTTGGTTATATTTTTTATTCATTTCAAATGATGAAATACACTACCATCATAATACTTTTTAACCAGTAACGGTACTCTTAAATTTTTATATGAGAATTGAAGAGGGTTTTGTTTTTTGCTTAAAAATTACTTATTGACTATTATGTATGTATAAAACATATTATCACGAAATTATTATATTTCAAATTAACAGTTGCTAGCAAAACTTTTTTTTTTTTTTTGTTTAATTTGGTGCTTACGAATTGTAGCTATAAGACGTTTAACATATCAATTAATACAAAAAATTGATAAGTGGGATCCAACATTTTTTATAATCTCTGCAAAGCAATCAATTATAAATAAACTCTGCTTTCTACCGCAATGCAATGCAATTGTGAAACTGGCACTTTGAACGAGTACAACGACCTTAGCACGACTACCCTGTCTTCTGCGCGGCCCTCCACTGTGGTCATTAGTGCATTGCACTATACCTTGCTAGTGTGTTTGTTTGGACTTGCTTATTTTAGCATGAAGCATTGTTATTGATTATATAGACGTCTAGCAGAGGCAAGTGTGCATGATGAACCGACTAACATCTAGCCGGACGGATTGATTAAGTGACTTGCGTAGTAAAAGCTTTACAAATATTATCGCTGTAGTGATTGTAGTGGACGTTGGAAACTCTGCGAAAAGCGGGACAATTTCTAAGCTGTAGGAACATTTTACTTTGTTCTAAAAATTCACCCATTTATGCTGAAGTGCTTGGGTAACCATAAAACCATGGAGTGCACAAAGGAGCAAATAAACAAGTGTATCAATGGAGCTGACGGTTCACCCATTACAAGAAAAGCATAATAGCACAGTTATGCATACTTGGCGTTGCATGAGAGTTGTCAGTTGTAAGGAATCTGTTAAATGAGCTTTGTGTGTAAGCTGTTACCGGGCGCATAGCACCTTACATGTAGAAGTCTGTTGGTTTTTGATTTCTACGTAAAAATGGTATAGCAGTGCATGCAATGCCAAGTATGCATAACAGAGCCTTTACTTGAAATGCGTTTATCATAACATAAGTAGTATAGTAGCTAATAAAACAGAACTTGAAAGGCTAATTGAAATTGTTGATCCGGATGTAGTTCTATGTTCGGAAACTTGCACGACAGAGGAAATATGTGTACGACTATGGAATACAGTTTCCAACATATCAGTGATCAGAAAGATGTGACTCGTACAGTAGACATACAGGAGGGGTAACCATAATTTTGGGAAACGCATTAGATTTTAAAATAGTACTAAACAAATCGATCGATGAAAATGTTTGGTGTGGAGTAGCCCCACTAAAAAATCTCGATACCAAATGGAAAATCGGGGTGGTCTATCACTCACCTAGTTCAAATGATGCTGATTTTCTAGCATATATGGATACTATTTTGTCGGAATTATGCGATAAGATGCTAAATACCATTATTATCGGAGATTTTAATATAGACCTGTATATAATGTCGACATATTGTAAGAAACTGAACATAACAGTTTATTAACGTTAATACTAGGGTTACTGAATATTCCGAAACACTGATCGATTTGTTGTACTCGAACGCTAAGCCAGCTTCATTTGAAAAAGCGGAGGAAAATAGAATAGCGGATGATGAAACTATAATGTTCAAATGCAATATAAAAAAAACAAGGCCCATCAATAAAATGTTTTGAAATCTATAACTTCGTGGAATGGATACAGCCCAGACAACCTCATCAATTTTTCGAAAAAAGAAAGCGCATAAGAAAATGATTAAAATTAAAACAATACAATATATGGAATACTAAGTGGAAATTAATAAAGGTGATAGTCGTTTAATGTAGAAATACTTAAAGAATGTTGTTATTAATACAGACCACAAAGAAAACATCAAAGAAGTTCTGATCAACGGCAAAATATATAGAAATAGTACTGAAATCGCTGACAAATTAAACAATCTCTTTGTGGATAGTATCGTCGATATTCATCGGAATATAGAAAACTAACGTTTTGAATCCGATTCGATAGATAAACATTAGTGGAAATAATTTATTATTCGAGATGTAATCAAAGACTCAGTGGAATGTATGGTTCACTTTTCCGCCCTATTAGTAAATAAAAGCATTCAGTTGGGAATAGTAGCGACAGAGTGGAATAATTCGACCATTGTCTCAATAAAAAAGGTCAAAATCACCATAAAAACTAAGAAACTTAGGCCAATAAACACATTTCCAATTTAGAAAAAATACTGGAAGCGGTTGTAAAAAGTCAACTAATAAACTATATTGAGTTAAAAAAAAATATTCATTAAGGAGCAGTCAGTTTTTGAGGCTTATCACTCAAGCAAAACAGCGCTAAACTTGATTTTATCACAATGGAAGGAGTACCTGAATTCCAAGAAGTTTACCTTGGCGGTGATTGTGGACCTGAAGAGAGTCCTCGAGGCCATCGACAGCGAAATTATGCTAAACAACTCGAATATATTGGTATAGATAACATCGAACTTACATGGTTCCGTAGTTTTCTTTCTGAGAAGTTTATATGAGACGGTTTCGAAACTAGTCATTTCCAACCGGCCAGTTGTGGCGGCTCTGGAAGTTACACTCTTAGAACGCTTGTTGTACCTGTGATATATTTACGGTACTGCTTGGGATCACGTCCGTTACAACAGCATCGAGAATATGCATTATACATAAACTATTTCTGTGTTCGTATGGAATAGGAGCTCATGTCGGGAAGCAGGCTTTAGTATAATGCGGCATTCCGTTTATTCATTAAACGACAAGGAATTTTTTGATGAGACTTGTAAAGAATATTGACTTGCCAGTATTGGAACTATTTCTTGCACGTTTATTTGCCAAAAGTTCTTCAACGACTCGGCGCCAGTGAGTAATTCGCAATTGTATGCTGCAAACACCGCAGTATACTAAAGTCAGAATTTCGACATAAGCTACTATTCCATACGAACACAGATTTTATAGCTTAGAAGGAAAGTTGTAAAAGGTTAAGGTTAACTTATATTAAGCTTTAATTATACTTTTATTATATATTAATTTTGCAATACATATTACAAATGTATATACACTGCTGGAATAAAGTATTGGCACAGCAAATTTTTCACAATATAGTATGTAACAATTTTTATTCCAATATTTTTACGCCAATTTTGTATGAAAATATGGTTCATTCTACAACAAAAAACATAAAAATTTAAGTCCTAAACTTTGTGGAAAGCTCGCAAAAATTCAGCAAATTTCCATGCAAATTTTCAACTTTTTAATCAGATTATAAAGGTCTAGGTCTGCGCTAGTTCTGCGCTTGTCAGATTTTCTGTAGGGTGATGGCGAATTGACCAATACATTTAAAAAATTAAGTAGGCGGCTGAATGCAAACTCAAGACCGGCTTTGCACTCGCCCAGCCACTTACAAGACACATATACAAATACTTATGGTATTTTGATGGAATTTTTAAACTATAGTTTATTAAATGATGACGTAATATGAAAGACCTAAAAAAATATGTAGATATATACTTATATTAGTATGTGCATAAAGATGTAATAAATGCACCCCATTTAATATCACAAAAGCATAAACCACTCCGATGACAAATTGTTTACTCAACAGATATGCCCAATGCATAATCTCATATTATTCATTGCGTCCTGAAAGTATACAAAACCTCCTGTATTCTTGGGAGTGGCCACGCTTTGAACAGGTGTTAGTATCTAACCATGCAATCACTGAGTGCTAACCGTTTTAAATGCATATGCTTAAATTTGTTTTAATTACTCATGTATGCCCTAACGAATACTTTGACAACAGTTAGGTAGGGAATGTAGTAAAAAGATAAGGCATGCATCAGATCTTGCTCCAACGGCGAGACCAAATTTATTTATAACAGCATTGTGTATATCTATAACCCTACGAGAATGAAGCAAGAAATTACCATACCTATCTCTGTGTGTCGCAATTTTTTCTCTGTGCTTCCTACTAGATACTTATTTTAAGCCACAGCCCATTCCAGGCCAGTGCATCCATTTATTGCTTAGTTTCACATTAAACATCCTCTATTAAAGTTTAGTGCATCGTCATCATCGGAGTAGCCAGTAACTTTCTTTTGTTTCTTCATCTATAGAATTAATCATCATCCTTTTTTTTTTTACTCCTTTTTAATTCTTTCTTTTTCTTGTTTAATTTCTTCTATGAACTCGCAATTTGCACTTTCGAAAAAAATTGCCGTACATTTGCGCACTCCTTTCCGCACACATAATAGCCGCGCCTTGCCGAAAACAACACATTGTACTTTCGCACTTGCTCATCCACAGCGATTCGTTCGTTCATCCAAGCGCATTCGTCACTTTGACGAGCGCACTACACGTTTACACACACACATACACTCACCTTTCTACAAGCGGAATTTCGCAGTTTTTTCTTATTCGTTTCTTGCGTTTTCCTCAACTTCACGCTCTAAATTTCCCAAACTCCAGCTTATTTTTTAGTTTTCCCTTGGTAAAATCATAAAATTTTACACACAGAGCTTCAAAATATTTCTATCTTTTTTTCAACACAATCTCTCACAATAATTTCAAATGAAATTGTGTTTTCTTTCAACTTAATGTTGATTTAAAACGCAACGTTTTACATTTTAGAATTGTTAATACTTTGACGCTCTACCTTCACTTGCAGATTTGTCTTTCCTGTCAGCCGTTGTGCTGTAGTAGATTTCTATTTGCAGGAAAATTCGATTGATTTAATATGTATGTGTGGTCAAACACCGCCAAATGAACAAAATTAAACAACGCGTGCAACCAATACCGAAAATGCGAGCAAACTGGCTCCACAAATTCGTTGATTGGCAGAACACCGAGTGAATATTTTCGAATGTGGAATCCTGACGAGTAGGTGTGGGGAATAGTTAAATTTAACGACCAAGCCAAGCCTGCCAACATGATTCAACAACTACAGGTTGTAGCAATCGTACAAAAACAACATTTACCGTTGGTATGAACTCCTTGTGTCATCAACATCTTCTTTATCTATTCATATTCGTATGTATATGTATACCCTGCATACCAGGATTTCATAGAATTCTGAAAGGTTTCACAATTTTTTTTTATAATTTACTTTAAGAAATCGTACAGAAATTTCTTTAATAGTTCTTGTCAGCCGCTTCATATGTTTTTCTTTAAAGATTTCTAAAAGAATCGTAACAAATTTCCGACACTTTTAAAGACTTCGGGAGCATTTGTTTGCGGGGTATATATAGACGTATATGTGTATCTATACGCGGAGATGTAAATAAAGCAAAACAGACGATAATTTGACACAAGCGTGCTCATAAGAAGAAGCATAGCTTCTTTCGCTATCACCTGTAATTGATGCGCCTTGGCCTGCCAACTATTGTTAGCTATGAGGTGCCATATAGAGGATAAAAAGGTGCCAAAATGTGCCAAATAGAAAAAAAAAGTGCCAAAAAAGGTGCCATTCGTTTTAATTCTTCCCATTTAGCAATAAAATTAGAAACACATTTCTAAAACAGAAGACCAGTGCCGAAGTAAGATAAACGAGTTGTATACACTATAGAAATTAGAAAATTTTAGTTGGGAAAAAGAAGTGCTCGCAAAGGATTTCACACCTTTTAAAATATTATTTTCCAAAAGTGCCAAATTGAAGAGTTAAGTGCCACTTGAAGTAAAATAGGGCCAAAAATGGCACAGATTGACCGAAGATGGCAGCCCTGGTAGTCAAATAAAGTCCCCTTTCAGACACGTCAAGTCTTGAAAGCGAATTTTTAACGCATTCTCTTTTGTGTTTTATCTTTGCTTCCACACGCGTCAAGTTTTATTGAATTCAAGTCCTTGGTTCTTTAAATGGGAAGCAACGAAAAGATTAAAAGAGAACAAGAAAACTTGGAACGAATTGACGGTACGGAGGCATCTGTACTCTTCCCACCTCCTTCACCAACGAACGAGCAGACTTGAAAGCAAGACTTGACGTGTCTGAAAGGGGACCAAGACTTGACGTGTCTGAAAGGAGACAGGAATTGTGTGCAGTGTTGCTGTGGTCGACAAATAAAATTGCCCAAAATCGATCTAAAAATTTAACAAATCCCGTAAAAATTAGGCAACTTTTTTAATGGGTCGTAATAAAACGAAAAAATCCTTGGTTTGAATACAGCCGTATTTGAGCTTTTCTTACCTAGCTTGGTTAATTGGTTATAAAAATAAAAAGTATGCAAGTAAGTAAAGTCGATCTAAGGCTCAGTGTTGTCGTCAAAAGTAAGGAACAGTTGCTTAATTGAAAAACTATTATATGCCTACACATACTTTCAGGCTTTCAACATATGTTCCTATAATAGTTAGCTGCCTCTGAATGCATTGCATAAAATAGCAAAATGATGGTATTGTCACGTAAACTGTGGCAACTCGAACAGAAAAGCAAGAAAATTGCAGAATGTTCAAGGAATGACGTAGAATAAACGACAGCGAGAAACGTCAAGTGGATGAATTATGCGAACAGCGCGAGAATGAGCAATAGACGCCAGAACGTTCTAGAGTTGCCATGAGTGCGAGCGCAGGTATATAAGGCCACTACCACAGTAGAAGTCAAGTTAGTTGCAAGGTATACTGCGGTTGCAAGTCAGCAAGCTTCACGACAAGAATATGAGATTGCGCCCAAGAGAGGATTTTTGAGCGTAATTTTTGCGTGACGTCATCTTGGTGCAATTGCGAGAGAAATGCCAAAACGCATAGGAAACAATGCGGAAAAATGTGTTAATATCAATATTAAATGGTCCAACTTTGCAGGAATTAATAAATATTCGAAGTTTAATTAAATAGGAATGTATATATGCAATTTTAGCTATTAGATATTTTGTTTTCAACACCAATAGATTTTGCTTCAAAAAGTTTCCATTTTATCGATAATTGTTTTTATACCTACATAAATAATATGTTTGTATGTATTATGTACGTTTTAAAAGTTGGTAAAAAATTACAAAAACACTTCTTATTTCTAATAAATGCAACAGTTTCCTCAAAGATTATTCACAACCCGATACAAAATATATCTAAATAAAAGGCAACAAGTGTTAACTTTAGATCTTAACCCCATTACATGCGAAATACACCGAACCTTGTAGGTTGGCCCGCATTATTTAAAGCCGCTTTTAAACTTAATCCCAATACTTGACGTGTGTTAGCCGGGTCAATGATGCCGTCGTCCCACAAACGTGCTGAGCTATAATATGGTGAACCTTCTTTTTCGAATGTCTCCACAATAGGTGCCCTCAATGTGTTAGCTTCGTCCTCGGTAAAGCTCTTACCGGCGCGTTTCCGCTGATCTGCTGTTATTTGTGCGAGAACATTAGCTGCCTGGGTACCACCCATTACGGAGATACGTGAATTTGGCCACATGTAGAGAAAACGTGGTGAATACGCACGTCCACACATTCCGTAGTTTCCAGCCCCATAAGAACCACCAATAATAACGGTAAATTTAGGCACATTCGCACAGGCTACAGCAGTGACCATTTTTGCGCCGTTCTTTGCTATACCATGGGCCTCAGCATCACGACCTACCATAAAACCTTTTAAAAGAAAATGGCGTACAATTAGAATTAATAAAATTTATATTGCTATAACATACCAGTGATATTTTGTAAAAAGACTAGCGGTATATTACGTTGTGCGCAGAGTTGGATGAAATGAGCACCTTTAAGCGCACTTTCCGAAAACAATACGCCATTATTGCCGATTACGCCAATAGTATTACCATAAAGTTTGGCAAAACCACAAACTAAGGTCTCGCCATAAAGTTTCTTAAATTCTGTAAAACGACTTCCATCCACTATACGTGCTATCACTTCGCGCACATCAAAACTCTTTGTTAACGTGGTACCTACAATTCCATACAAATCACGCTGATCATATCTGGGTTCCTCGATCGATTCTTTGTTGGTGGATTGAATTGCTTTATTCGCCGTTTGACTTGAATATAATAATTGTTCATTGTATCCATTGGTTGAGGGCAAATTCAAATTTCGCACAACTTGTCTAGCCAAATAAAGAGCATGTTCATCGTCAACAGCATAATGATCAGTTACTCCAGACGTTTTGCAATGCAAGTCAGCTCCACCCAAGTCCTCAGCGGAAACTTCTTCGCCAGTAGCGGCTTTTACCAAAGGTGGTCCCGCTAAAAATATGGTTCCTTGGCGTTTTACGATAATACTCTCATCAGCCATTGCAGGAACGTAGGCACCTCCAGCAGTACAGCTGCCCATTACAACTGCGATTTGAGGTATACCTAAAGCGGACATGTTGGCTTGATTATAGAAAATCCGTCCAAAGTGTAGCTTGTCAGGGAATACTTCCGCTTGGCGTGGTAAATTAGCGCCGCCAGAGTCCACCAAGTATATACAGGGCAGACGATTTTCTTGTGCAATCTCTTGAGCACGTAAGTGTTTCTTTACCGTTATTGGGTAGTAAGAACCTCCTTTGACAGTAGCATCATTGGCAACGACGACGCATTCAGTACTATAATTAACTACTTTAGAGAAATTATTCTTGAGGATTCATAATACATACCCACATACTCTGCCAACGCCAGTAACAATGCCACCAGAGTTTACAATTTCTTTACCATAGAGATTATAACCCGCCAAAGTGCTTAACTCCAGAAATGATGAACCTTTGTCAAGCAATAAATTAATGCGTTCTCTAGCCAAAAGTTTGCCTCTTGAAGAATGACGCTCGGTCGCTGTAGGTCCACCCCCTGCCAGCACATTCCGAGTGATTTCATTTAACTCGTTTACCAATTTAGCCATTTGGCCGTCATTTTCCTGTGAATGTTTAATAGGTGAGTATACTGTAAAAATCAATTTCTACTAGATTGAACCTTAAACTCCTCAGAGGTCTTATCAACTGATGATGACAAAACATCTGCATCGCCCACGTGCAAAAGTCGCCCTGAGTGGCGAGAAACATGTACTGTAATTTGATTTCTGAACACAGACACTAACTTTAACATAATTTAATCTACGATAATTACAAAACAAAATAAGATTTGTAATAATAAAAAAAACAAATTAATTTTGTATTTGGGTCTAATTGACGAGTCAAGCAAAGGCAAGTGGACAAGGTCACGTCACCCGGTGATAGCATTGGATAACGTAGAACAGCTGTTCTTATATTAGGTTTACATATAGGTAGATTATCCTCATTTTGGAGCTTAACTCCTTAATATGTAATTAGAACAAGTAATTTTTAAGCAAAAAACAAAACCGACTTCAATTCTCTATAAAGATTTAAGATTATTGTTAATTTTTTCACGATCCAATTATTGGCTTTCCCATGGCACTCCAATTACATAGTTCGCTCTCTCATTCGTAATTCGCACTCCAATTACCCTTCGAATTACGTTATTCACCATACAAAACTTGCAAAGCGAATTACCTCACTTGTTGGTAATTCAGATCCAATTACCATGCGAATTAGGAATAAATCGGTGCCGTCTCTAATTTTTATCGGAAATTTATCGATACTAGCTCACAAATCAATACTAGCATTTTTTCGAGTACGAATTAATTTAATACGGAAACTTATAAATTTTTAGGTAGAACCTACATTTTGTACCAGTTTTGTAGCCAAGAGTAACAAAAAAAAACACATAGACAGAGAACTGTCAAATCGAATTAAGAATGTGCGCGTGGGAGTTCGCGATCGTAATTGGGGGAGCGAACAAAGCAAAAGTATGTTCACATATAAATATTATCACAACAATTGTAGGTAATTCAGATCGAATTACCATGCGAATGACGAACGAATCGGTGCCTTCTCTAATATTTATCGGAAATATATCCAAGTTTTCACCGGCCTGGCCTATTTGCTGGCACTTTTTCTAGTTGTAGAATAATATTAATAAAATATTATCTATATATATTAAAATTGTTGATAACTTAAATTTTAGCTCCATACTCGATATTTGCAGTATACAAAAGTAATAATAAATAGCGAAGAACTAGAACAAGAACTACAGCTGCCAAACGAATTACTAATGTGTGACGTGGAAACAAGGTAATTCACGAATTACTTAGCGAATTACTTTGGAGCGAATTACGAAACGTGGAAACATCGTATTAATCACCCCGTTTACACAGGCAAATCTCAGATTATTGCCGTGAAAAAAATTAAATATATGGAGAATAAAATTATAACTAACCAGTCCGACAGCAAGTTAATGTGGAAATATTTAAAACAGACGGTTTGCTATGATGGTATAAAAGAAGATATTACATTAATACATCATGGTGGTCAATATATTGAAGATAAAAATCAAATAGCAGAGGTCTTAAATACCTACTTTGTTGAAAGCATAGTGGAAATAAATAATAATATTGAAAATATAGAATATAGTGATAACTTCTATTATAACATCGATAGCACATTTAAATTTAACGAAATAACTACTGATGACATAGTGCGAATTGTCAAGAAATTTAAATATAAAATTGGTGGGAAAAAATTATTATCTGAAGGAGTAATAAAAGACTCTTTAATATACATGGGGTATTTTTATTCAATTATGATCAACAAAAGTATAACAGATGGTATCGTACCTGATGAATGGAAAGTTTCCACAGTGGTTCCAGTCAAAAAAATTAAAAACACAGTTAAAGCTGAAGAACTTCGACCGATCAATACTCTACCAAATCTGGAGAAAATATTAGAAACAGTGGTAAAAAACCAGCTCATGGAGTATATTGAAGATAAAAATATATTAATTAAAGAGCAGTCAGGGTTTCGAGCTAAACATTCGTGTGAAACGACACTTAACTGGGTTATTTCTCAATGGAAAGAAGACATGAGAAGTAAAAAAGTAATACTGGCAGTTTTTATTGACTTGAAAAGAGCTTTTGAAACCATTGATCGAAAACTAATGATTTTTAAGTTGAAACAAATTGGTATTAAAGAGGTAGAACTGAAGTGGTTTGAGAGCTTCTTAACTAATAGAAAGCAACACACAGTTATAGGAGAAGTATTGTCTAAGGATATACCGGTAGATATTGGACTACCACAGGGTTCAGTACTAGCACCAATTCTTTTCAATATCTACATCAACGATATTTTATCATCAATCAGTTATTGTAAGATAAGACTGTTTGCTGATGATGCACTGTTGACTATAAGTGAAGACGATTTGGACACAGCAACTCATAAAATGCAAAATGACTTAGACTCACTATATGTCTGGTTATGCAAAAATAAGCTAATGTTAAACGTAAAAAAGACTAATTACATGATAATTTCTTCAGCAAATAAAACTAGATTAGGGCGACACGATTTACATGTTAGGGATGAAAAAATTACAGAGGTTACTACAATTAAATATCTTGGTGTTTTAATTGATAATAAATTAAAATTCCATGATAACATTGAGTATACCGTCAACAAAGCGTCGAAAAAAATTGGATTTATGAAAAGGACATGTAAACATCTAAGTAGAATATATAAAATTATGGTTTACAGATCAATTATTGAGCCACATTTTATATACTGCCCCACTATCCTGTTTATAACACCTGAGTCGTATATAGAGAGACTACAAAAAATGCAAAATAGAGCTATGAGGCACATACTTAACGCCCGATACGATACCAGCATTTCATCAATGCTGAACAATTTAAACTGGTTAAATGTGAAACAACTAATCTTTTTCCATACAATGAAGTTTATTTATAATATAAAGAATGGAACCCTTCCAAAATACTTGAGTGATAACTTTAGGTACAGCAGTCACACTCACACCTATGAAACCAGAGTCAGGGATAACTTTAAACTACCATTTTGCCAGACGGAAAATCAAAAGAGAGATTTGTACTATAAAGGTTTAAAAATGTTTAACGAACTCCCCGTAGATATGAGAAGCTGCAATAGCTTACAAAAATTCAAAATTTTATTATACGAGCATTGCAAAAAACACATATAAGATTGCTATTGGGCCTCCCCATTCTAATAAGATACTAGCATATGAGAGGAGTTACGAGCATGGATCGGAAACCCGGCCTTTCCGACCATGTCCAACAGCTCGTTCGTAGTACGGAGCGGAAACTAGAGCTTTCCGCCCGTTTCACAGCAACATAATTATGAAAAGAACATGGATCGGAAACTCGGCCTTTCCGACCATGGTAAACGCCTTTATTGACGCAGAGCGGAAACTAGGCCTTTCCGCCTGCTGAACATAAAGATAGACTGGAGACTAGGCCTCGCCAGCTATCCAACCCGAGGCTATAATGTACGTATAATTAATTAATTAATTGTACAATAAATTAATATGTATAAATTTATAAAGTATGTATTTGAAAATAAGTAAAAATTAGTAAAGAAAATAAGAAAAATGTTAATGTATAGTATTAGTAGAAGAGCAATCAATTAAATTAATTAAATTAAATAAGTTTATAATGTAATTGACAAGATTTTTTATAGGTCTTAAAGACTGTCAATAAATAAATAAATAAATAAAAAAAAAAAAAAAATTTTTTTGTGCTTGTTAGTGGCTGCATTTCTTTATTCATTCTGAATGTTTGGAATAAACTCTTTTGTTCATGAACCAAAAATACAAGATCACGTAAGAACGCGACGATGTATTTGTAACTGGTTTTGAGAAAAAAGTTTGCGAAAGCGGGTTCGTCAGCTTAGCGTTTGTTTACATCACAAGCACCACTATTTTACACTTTTATTCAAGTAAAGAAGAGTTAATTCAACATGACAACACATTTTAAAGCATTTTGTTGCATCATTTTACCTAAATTGTGCGTTTAAAGTGGCTGACAATAATTTTGGCTAATTTTGGTTTTCGTTGCTTTCTTTGCTTTTCGCTTGTTTTCCAGTGAAACAAGATGGCGTAGAACCCGCTAAAAAAATCGACTTTTTTCACTCTCTTGTTCTTACGTGATCTTGTGTCTTTCGTTCATGTTTTTTGTTTACTTATTCTTTAGAACGTTCCTGATGATATGTTAACGTATATTTCAAACGCATTCTGTTTATTCCGGTTGTGAAATGGGATTATCCGGAATGTATAAAGAAAGGCAGCCAATAAGGCCCGTTTACATACAACTTTGGCGTTGCGTTGGCGTTGGCGTCGCTTCGACAGCTGACTATGAATACATGTATTTATATGAAAGTCTCCATATAACCAAAGTTGGGCAACGCCAACGCCAACACAACGCAGAAAGATGGCCAACTCTCAACTTTTCGCGCGCGTCGTTCGTCAGCTGTTCTAAATAATCAAAATTATGTGATTTAATTTTAATTTTTAATCAAATGCGGGCAAGAAATATAGTTTTTAATGCAATTATTGATGTAAAAATTTTGATTTATCAGCCGCTAGTATGTTAATTTAGTGACCAAAGTATTCTGTGCTAAGCGTTCATTGTAGCAAGCACGGGCGTTACGCGCGCCGCTGTCAAAGCGACGCCAGCGCCAACGCAACGCCAAAGTTGTATGTGGACGGGCCTATACATTGGTTACCAGTAACACCTGATTTACATGATTCAAGTACTTGAAAGCAATTCTTGCTCACTCTCTTTTGTGTTTTCTATTTTCTTTTACACGTTTCAATTCTGTTGAATTCAAGTTTTTGGTTCTTTAAATGGGAAGCAACGAAAATGCCAAAAGCAAAGCAAGAAAGTTGAAACGACTTGACGGTACAGACGCATGTGTACGCGTCCCTTTTCTTCTCACCACCTCTCTTCCACATGCGAGCAGAATTGAATTCAATACTTGAACTGTGTAAAAGCAGTCTAACTATAGCAACAACGTAGCGGAGTTTGAACAAAATGCTACCATAAAATGTTTTTTCTGGCACACTTGACGAATTGTGTGCCTTATTTCTATGTGTAAACGTATTTTAGTATGAGTTAAATCGTTTTCAAAATTATTTATTATGTGCGAACGTACCTTAACGATGCAATATCACGATGAATATCGAGCGTGGTGCATTGTGGTTAAAATTTCTCGCAAGATTTTGCATACAACCCTGTGTAATTTTGACATTTCCTTTTGAGAATTGTTTTTTTTCTGTATTATTCAAGGCGTATTTAACAAGGTGGTGTTGGCCGTATATAAGTAAAAAATTACACTAACAAATTATACGCTGATGTCCATACTGTCATTGGTATGAGTTACAACAAACACATCATTTTGACGTAATGGCCTCCACGGAGAAAAACTCAGCTGTCGCCCCAACACCACCTTGTTTAATACACCTTGGTATTATTTGTGAAGTCCGGAACATCACGTCCAGGCCAAGTCAAATTTTTCTGTCGGAGCTAAACCAATTTATTCCAAATTAAAAGTAAAATGTTGGGGCGCACAAGTCTTTTGGCTCGTAATATTACCCAAAACTTGGTTAGGCACAGCAGTCATGGCGGTATTCCCGGAGAGGTGTGTAAAATCAACTTTTTTATGGGGCACATTGTTACATAAGCAGTAAATTGCACGATATTGAACATTAATTATTATTTTGTTGCACAGAACTTGCCTTTTGGTCTAAATAACCGCTATAAACTAACTGCCTACTTCGTGCTTTTCTTTGGATCTGGATTGGCTGCACCTTTCTTGGTTGTCAGACATCAGCTGCTGAAGAAGTAAAATGTAAGGTTAGTAATCAAGATCGTACAATTTTCACTAGACTAAGTACAACTCCACAACAAAGCGCGAAACGCCTAAAAAGGTTGTAGAGTTGTACTCGTAAGTCCGTTCCAGGCACTTGGCGATTTGCAGATTTTTACGCCACCTTTCATAAGTTTTAATAAATCCGAAAACAGCCTTTCCTGTAAATCCTGAAGTACCTAAGTGTGCGTAATATAAACTTTTTTCTCTTTACAGATCTAAATTTATAAGAATAAAGATGAAACTCCCAGAAGGCTTATCCTGGCTTTTTGCAGAAGTGTTAATTACAATTAAAATTAAAGTGAAATTGTATTCACAAATAAAACACTGTATGTCACAGTAAAAATTCTATTATGCACAGTTTTAATAATTTTACAAAACCGCAACATCTAGGACCAGAAATATCCATTTTTTTTCAATAAGATAAATAACTATCCTGTCGTGGGGAATGTTTTTTTTTAACCGACTTCCAAAAAGGTCATCAATTCGTCTTTTTTTATGTATGTTACCGCATAACTTTGGACCACGTTAACCGATTTCTATAATTGGTTTAGATCCGAACATAAAATCTTGAAGAAATTAACGATAATTTTAAGTTTTTATATGGGAATTTAAGTCGGTTTTGTTTTTTGCTTAAAAATTACTTGTTTTTAATAATATTAAACTGCCACCCGTTCCATTTTGTTCGATCCCTCTCGCTTCGAAATAAAAAGAAAAAAATAATATTTTCAATGCTTTTCTTGTCATTCCTCTCTGAAATAAAGTTGACAACGCCAATTAAATTGAAGCATTTTAGCTTAAAAATAGTTACGAAACGAAAGTTTTATTGAAGATAGGTCCCAAAAATGACTGGCCGACTAGGAGTGCTCGTGCGCGGTGTACGCCAATTTTCCACTACCACCAAGCTTTATGGAGGTGGACATGGTAGGCCGGGTTGCCCTGGAGAGGTGAGAAGCAACTGTGATTAAGAAATAGCAACGAGGTTTATTAAAATTTTTTCAAAGAATCTTCCATTCGATTTGAACGCTGGAAAAGTTAAGCTAACAATGATCATGACACTTTTCTTTGGAGTTGGGCTAGGCGCTCCATGGCTTGTCGTAATGTGGTCGTTTATCAAAGGCAAATAATAGCTGCATAATTTTATTATAGAATGTACGAATATTCAATAAAACTCGTTATTTTATAACTTTAGTTCTTGGAAGCTCGCAAGGGAAGGTTTTTAGAAATAAACATTCAATAAAAAATAGTATAAAATATTTACTAGTCATTTTCATTATTATCACAATTCATCTTTGTCATCAAAGTTGTATTCTACATCGTTGGCCATGAAGGAACAATATTTCGCTTGGGCTCCGCAAATTTGAGAGTCTAAATCATCGGCAAGTGTAGGAGCTTGGAAGGCCTTTAAGAATACAATTTCTTGATCGTCAAGTATTTCCAAACACTATTAACAAAAAGATAATGTCAATCTCTAATGTTTAGCATTCCAAATGTTAATACTCACATAGTGACCAAGGCTCTTATTTAAATCTCCATCTTGTACAAAGTCAACGAGGGAAGATTCGGGATTCATCTTGTCATTGACAATCATTTTAAGAAGAGTGAACTTGCCATTGCTCTTATATGTTGCTTTCACATAATCTTCCATTTTATCACCTGAAATATTCATATGTAGGTACATAGATCATGATCCGATCATTTGAAATATCTTGTCTCCAATTGAACCACCACTCACAAATCTTTTCCATTAACTCAGTCAGGTACATCTCCGACTTGATTAGCTTCACTGTTTTACTTATGGAATTTCCATGAGCATCCAAACGAAAGCCACTAACATCGGCGGTTTTATTTGGGTCTTCCTTGGCGATAGCATTCTCCATTTCCTGTACTGTAGCCTTACAGACTAGAAATTGCAATTGTCGATAATTATTAAAAATTTACATACGCCATATTTACATACCATGGCATTTGACCTCCTCTGAGGTGAATCCCTCTACAACGGACCACAGTAGCAATAAACAAGTAAGGTTTAACAATGATTTACCGATCATACTGTTTAATATTTATGCACACGGTTATTTTTGATAAAGTCAAATTTTATAGAATTGATAAATTTATATCAGAACATGAATAAAACAGCATTAAGTGTCAATAACTTTGCCCAAAAAGCCGCATATCTCCAACAAATCAAAAATTATTCCACGTCTCCCTGTTTAATTGGTCAGTTATCGTCTTTTATTGGACTTCACACATGGTATGTTCAGTGAGCTAATAGCTTTGTTCCACACGCTTTCCAGGCTGTTTCGGTAATTAGAGCGTAAAAATAAGTTACTCTCTCACAAGTATAAAAAAAGCCGATTTTTGGACAAAAACCGGTAGAAGTGTTAAATAGCAAAATATCTCACACAAGAGAGAGCAACGGTGGAAGAACTGAGAAAAAATGCTGGAACGCAAAAAACTATTTTTCCTGCAGGTATATAAATGTTAGATGTTTCTTTACAGAATTATTTATTAATCCCACACATTTTACATCACACATTTTAATTATCAAAAGATCTCGTTATTTTGGTACAATTGGCTTCCATTCTGTTAAAAATATTTCTTATAAATTGCATCAGCTCTTTCACTTGTTATTTACGAATGCAACACTGGGTAATTCTCTAGGGTGGGGTAAAAAAGGTGCGGAAAAGTCGGGAGGGGTACTAAACGACGCGTTTCGGGCCCCCTAATAACAATCCGGAGGGGGGAGATAATATTATTAACCATTTAAAAGTTATGAACAAAAAACTTTGACAGTTTTCATGAATTTGCAGGAAGAAAAACTTCGGAATAAATCCTCCAACTTCATACCGAGAGTAAGAGCCAATTTACACGATGACTTTTCACCCTGGGAAAGTCATGCGTGTTGAGCTTGTAGGCAAGAAGTGTAGGGAAGTCAGCAGAGTATCAATGAAGTTAATCGTCCTTACGTTGAACTTTCACTTTCCCAACTTTCTACTGTAAAAATATGTTGCTGAAATTCCTCTCACAACGCAGGTTCACTACGACTTTTAAGTTCTAAATGTCAAGTCAAAATTTGTAGTTTTTTTCATGATCATGGTTTTTTTAATATCAGCGAAATTTCACAATTAAAAACACTCTACTTGGCGTTGGTGTGTTTTTATCGAAAAGTTTTAACATCGAGCAGCATTTGGAGTTTTGTCTTGCAGTTAGTGTCAAATGGAAACTATTTATGGAACATGTTTCCGATTATCAGGTTTTGTGTTTGAGAGGAAAAAGAGAAAACTTGCAAAACAGCAAAAAATCAACTGCAAATTGAAAAAAACGTTTGGAAAGCTAATGCATTGAGAATGATTGTGAGGTAAAAGGAATACCGTTAAAAGCGTAAGTCCAACAAATTAGATTTTTAACACTAGCAAAAACAATCAACGTTTCAAACAAATTAAAGAAAAATTAAAACATGAGCCTCATTCTAAATCTATTAAATACGGTTTACGATATGTGCGGAACGATAGATTACGTTCTGTGGCTATTCATCTTGAAAATTGCATCCCTGCCATAACTCGTTACTTTTCAGCGAATTGCTCAACAATCGCACATCACGCTGCGCGCCATATTGTAAAGTTCTTCAGCAGCAAAATGTACGGTCGGTAAAAATAAATTTTTTTGTGTGTGCTAGTTTGTGAAATATAAAAGAATTTTTGTCAAAAGTTGATTCCCTTCATTGATGGAAAAACTGCAAGCGTGGGAATAAATTCTTCGCATAATTTTGTTTACTATGAGAAGGTAAAAAAGAAGGTGAAAAGTTATACGTAAGCATTAGGAAAAGTGTTGGATCGGCAGGAGGGGTAGTAACATTCATAGCACAAACATACAGTTGTAGAAAAAGGGAGGAATCGGACAAATTTTTCTGCTAACGCAAAAAGGCTTGGTGAAAAATTTGTAGAAGGCCAAAGTCAAGAAAGCCGGGTTGATCAAGGATCAAAAATTTGATAATTTTTCCTCATATTATTGTTAAAAGCAATTGAAACGTGCGCTTTATTGAGTTTTCTTTGAAAACCCTACAACAGAGGTTTTGGGGCCTATAAAGATATATCTAGCTTGTCCTATATCCTATGTACATATGCACATATGTGTGTTCAATGGGAGCAGTGATGAGGCGGCATATGATGAAAACGTTGAATACGCGTTAGAAGAAACATCGATTGCACAAAAGAAAATTTTAATTACCAGAAGCACATAGTTGGTGCTGTAAAAACAGTGCTTAAAATCAACCAATTCTCAAATCAGTCTACACATACATATTTGAGACGGTTGCAAAAGGTAAGTGATACAGAAACTAAATTAGTTAGCTACGTACATTTATAAGCATAATAAAATTGTCGAATGGCATTGTACATTTATTATTTCTTTATACATGTAATTTTATTCCCTGCCCCGCCCGCATACTAAACCAGAAATTTATCTCTTTAATTAGGCGTCCAATCTGTTGTTGAGGTACCTACTCCGTAGGTATGTCAAGAGAATTAAGAAAAATGGTGAATTTCTTTATGCTATTGTTGCTTCGTTGAAGTTATTGACGCTTCGCTGGTATAAAATCCTACCCATTTTCTTTACAAATATTTCTTTTAACAAATACAAATACCAATCGATGGGTGCATATAAATTCTAACTACAAATTTGGCCGTTGAGCTTGTTTCGATTTTTCACATTTGCTGTTGGCGAGGTAATCGCAACCAACATGTGGAATATATTTTCCCGTCTTATCCGCTGTATTTTTTCGAAAGAAGATACTTATTGCGGATATTGTTTTTTATTTAGATATTTATCTACATAATAAATTTAGACTTACAGGTTCTTCTCCTGGATAAAAAGTTTTTGGTAAGCGCCATTTTGAAGATTTTTAGTTAAAGATGCAGTTATATATTTTAAAATAAGTTCTTTCGATTGCTGTCGTCAGTTTAAATATATCCTTAAGTTCCCGAGATATTAGATAAAAAGTATCTTTAACTGCGTTGACCAATACAAAAAATAGTGTTGCTATGCAAAAACGGTTTGTAGGTAATGTAAAAATTATTACTTTAATTTGAAAGGACTGAAGAGCAGAACCTTGCTTTCTCATAGCCCAAGAATAATAGCGCTGAGAAAATATATGGCATAAGTACTAATCTCTTTCGATACTATGAGCTCTTATTTCCACCTGTAAGATATCTGCAAGTATTACAAGGTTTGCCGAGAGTGCGTAATCTTCTTCGATAATCCTGCTGTTCCACAGAATGAAAGCGTTTACCCGTCTTTAATTCAGCAGACTTCTTGATATACCGATGACCCGTTGATGTGCCTAGGATATCTGTGAAGCTTAAACAGTTTTGCGCTTCTTTGTATGCATTCTTAAAGAATGAGGCTTTATTGGCTCATCTAAAATGTAAACTTGTAGAGGGGCACCTAAATATCGTCATTTCAGCGCCATCTATGTTTTGGCTCCATTTTTTTGCAGAAGCACTTATCATTATTATTACCCGTTAATCCATGTTATACGATAAGGACGGGTTCTCTAAATATCTCGAGTCCGGCGCCATCTGTCGGCACCATTTTTTGCAGAAGTAAATTATACGCTGCAGAGCGGAATTTCAAATTCATGTAACGTAACACCAGAAAAGTAGAAAAGATTTATAAATTTAAAAATTAGCCAATTAATCTTAAACATTTCCAATATTACTACAAAAATTGTATACAAATAGTCTTGCTCGATTTGCCGAGTTTTGGAATTTTATAATCCAAGTCAAAATCGACTTCTGTTTTTTGTAATGTCGCGCCAGCGCGTATGTTTCCTAATATCTTTAAATCGTTACTACCAACAGTTGTATTTTTTTTTTTACTGAATAAAGGGCCATTTAATTGCTATGTAAATCCAGAAAAATATTTTTAAAATTTTCACTGTTTCAATGAAATTAGTAAGGGTTATAATCCCTGAACGCGGCCGACGGCCGCCTACTAAATTTTTTTTTGATTGATTGATTGATTTACATTTTCTATGTCAAAATCCTAATCCTAACCCTTGTTTGTAGAGAGGTCCGACGGGGAAGGATGACTTTGGGTGCCGCACCCACTCGGCATCCGCTCCATACCACAAAATAATTAACCAAACACTGAACTTCATATACACAAAAATAATTATCATTCATATTCATTCATTTATTTATTTACTAAAACAATAGTACAA